CAGATATACGATATTGCGGATTGTCTCGGGGAAATATTTTCCTCCAAAGCGTAAATAACAGTTAGGTTCCTTTAGCTGTCTAATAATAATGCCAGCGTGAAAAGAGCTCCCTAGGCTGCCGCTGGTCGGTTGAAATAACTTAAAGATTGTTTATCGCGGTGTGGTTGGCTCGCACAAAGAGAAAATCTCCGGCAGCGTTCCATTATAAAGTGGCGACTGCATTTTATCATACGTCTCATTGGCGAAATAATAGAAGCAGAACCGGATACGCGCTCTCGCGCAAGCGGTATTTAAGCAAGCCCTCGATAGCAGTGACACACGTGAGCGTGGATAAGCGTGGTAATGCTTCACTCGACGAGGAAGGTGGGCAAAAATAGAATTGCCGGCCCCGCATTAAAACTTACGTGCCACCAAATGCCATACATTCTTAGGTTCTGCCTCGCGGTCTAGTGGGAAGACATTTTTCTCTGCGGTCAGTTAAAGTATGCTCGACCCGCTCGATATCAGCCTTGCAAGGCTGCCTATGACAAAGAGATCTCGCTTAAAATCAGGTAGTAAACCCGTTGTGGCGTGACGTATTCAAACGCGTTCCCGACGAATCAACGAGAGAGGCCGGCTAAACCGGCTCATATTTTGCGATTTCTATATTTGTGTTCCCGGCACGGAGCTTTGACGCGGCGCGTAATAACTCGGCAATGCGAGGAAAAACGGGACTGCTTGCGAAATTCAAACGCGGGCGCGATTAACGCGTTATCCAGCTGCCAACTATCTTCCGCCACACGTAGGTGAAAACGTGTGAAACGGTTGAACGTATATATTTTATCTAGTTGTTGAATCATGCATATGCAGAAGATAAAATAATAAGGTAAAACGAAATTCTGCGAAGTCGTAAAACAACCATCTATAAACGTGCTCAACTACGGCTAAGAATTTTATTATAATCGCGTATTCCCTTTATTAATACATTTGTGTATTATATGTATGCTGAAGTTGATCAGAAGACACACAAAGTTTGTCCATGGTATCCGGACGATTATTATGTTACAATCATATTACTGCTTTTATGCATCGAAAATCCCACACGTTTTACTCTTATGATAAGTGCAAAAACCATAATTCGTTGAATACCACTGACATGGATGGATAACAGAGATTATCGCTCCAAGCAAGTTCTTAACCAATTCCCAACCTTCTTTATACATCTTTTTTTATGCTATCTATAATACACACTCATTTTTCAAACTAACGGGGGATGCAAGAATTTCTAATAAAAGAAAATTTTAAAAATATGTAACTAGTATGTAGATCAATTTCCAACTGTATATTATATTATATATTATATTATATTAATATAATATTTAAAATAGATTCAATTAAAAAAAGAGTACAGATCCTCATTTCTAAGAAAGATGAAAATGTGTGAAATGTACTTCAACATAATTGTTAAAACGTTAAGTCTAAAAATGGCCCTAAATTGTTATCTGATTGCATATACGTTTGAAACAGAGAACAATATAGAATATCTATGCGGTCTTTACGACTTATTGCAGCATTCGCTTTTACAATCTATATAGATTCACAATTTTCAATAAATATATTATCTTAACTGCAAATTAACATAAGATACATATTGGAATATATTAAACAAGAGAGCAATGTGATAAGTTTGTCAAGAGCATTATGTATCTTTTTCCACGACGACAAATCCTATACGCGGATAATAACCGAGCAATGTGTACACTGCGGTTAGTATTGCGTATATTCGGGAGACAGATGCACGCACTACCCATCAGTCATGATCACGAACCTCATCGCCATCACGGTCATCATCATAATCCAGATCAGACCTTCGGGCAACAAACCTATCTTCGTTCAAGAATCTAAAAGCGAAGCGGATGAATACGCGATCCTAAGAATCCATTGCAATGCAGGTAAGAAATACGAGTTTCGCATGGCCTTTGGCAATATTATATTACAGTTGCAACATTTGTGGCATAAGTTCATTTAATATGTAGTTAATATCATCGTGTAAATCGAGACTGGAAAGATTTATTATAAATATATTATATTAAACAATTCATTTGTCAATGATAATATGCGATATGCGTTCATGCTCAATTAGTCCGTCAAATCGTAATAATAGTAAATGCTATTTATAAACATACAATACAGCAACGAGAGAGAGAGAGAGAGAGAGAGAGAGAGATTGTGATAACATCCAATGATACGCGTATGATTTTATTGCTAATATGAATTATTAACTATCAATAATCATTGGTAACTAATCACAATAGTAAAATAGTGTCCTAATATTTTTTATACGTATAAAAACATTATGCTAAAGAAATCATACATATTGCAAAAGAATACACACTATATTTTGAAAACCATTATTATTTACTCCGCAAGCATATCATTTTCTCTCTTTTTCTTTTTTTTTCTGTTGCGTATTCATGCAATGTTGTCCAATAATGGCCAGAGCCAAGGTCTCCGTATTATTATTTTCCATATTAGAGATAATTACTCGGCATCAGAGTAATATATACAAAGTAATGCATACGAGAACTTCGCACAACATGTATGGCAATGGTTAACTGCTGGCATCTGCTTTAAATTCGAGAGAACCTCGTGTGATTCTTCGTGCAGGTACGATTGTGGTATACGTTTGTGCCTTCTGCATGTCCTGCATATTTTCGCGTACGCACACCCATTGTATGCCTATTACAGGCATTGCCTTAGACGAACCGACTTCCCCATAGTCCTATATAAATACTTGATTGCGCTATATCAATCTTTTCAGTAATGATATAAAAACAAACGTCTTTATCATAAAGGCGACTTCTTCAGACGTTTGAGTTTTTAATTAGAAAAATTCTTATAAACTTATTATAAAAATTTACGTAAGTAAAAGAATAAAAAAGTATATGTATATAATAATGTTCTTATGTGCACAAAAGCAAATCACAATAATTTTATTCCTTTATTACTAGGAAAATTGTTATGTCTACTTCGAGGTCTACTTTATAGTGTGAAACAAAATTCAGAATGTTTTTGCAGATTTATGAGAAAATTTTCAGAGACTTAATGAAACCTTGGATTAGTATATTCAGATAACAAATAGTTTACGAGTACTCATAAAGAGTAACTGCATACTAACAGCTTAGCATAGCTTATCGATAACGTAATCAGCCGACTCTCCTCTATATATACACGTGTTATGGAATTCCATTTTAATAGGTTTCCGATTAAGTAAACGCCCGCTCGTGTCCAATGATCTAAATTCCATTAAGTCCCGTTCTAATTGTTATTCATGTTACTACACCACTTACAGTTAGCTCTTTCGCGTGCGAGGTAGCTCGTTGAGGAAGTTGTTTAATTAGCAATCTTCAATAAATCTTTAATTGAATATACCGTAATTGATCGGTTTTATACATATATTCAAGAAAACATGTATTTAAACCTGATCGGTTACGGTATTCATTAAAGATTGATTGAAGTTTGCTAATTAACCACGTGTTTATGGTAGGAAAAGGTCTGTGATTTTTTTTAAATACATATATCATCTGCTTTACATCTTTTTTTTATTTCTAATTTTGTGTGACGATGATGGAACAAAATACCTAAGATATAACAATTAAATTTTATTAAATTAATTAAAAATTAAAATAAATAAAGAAAATAACACTCCATTGTATTGAGAGTATACAGTTTCTTAATAATATCGTAATATATCTAAAATCGTATATATTAAAACTAACTTGAATAATAACGAATAGAATATACTAATAAGTGCATTTAATACACGACGCTACTTACGTCTTATATAAATCATCTCACGAGCCACCAAAACAATCGAGAAACGTAGCTCTAGTATATTTAACGGCTTTAACGGCTCACTATAGGGTTAACGAATCAATTAGCGATGGAGAAGGACGAAAAGGAAGAGGTGGATGTAAAGGAAGTAGGAGGAACGAGATCGAGGACTCGATCTTTGCGGGGTCGATGCTAATTTCTGGGGTCGAATCGTGCGCCGACCACGCTCGCGATTGGTCTACGCGAGTGGCGGCCCCTTTTTGTTCTTTTAGCCGAGACCCGCCAATATATATATCTATATATATATATGGAGCAACCTGGCGACGATCGTGATATGTCAGCCGGCACCCACGCTCCTGCGACTTCAGATTCGTTGTGCCACCTTTGCCGCGAAACCTTCTCGGCCCTGACCTGTCCTGTCGTCGCTTCAGGCCTTCTTTAAACTTACATCCTATTATCTCACAGCACTCAGATAAAGTTTTTCACCTATTTTTTCAAATCTTAATAGAGTTAAGCTAGTAATAAAGCAATTTTCATCGTTTGATTTTCTGCTAAATGTATAAGTGTCGCCACACACAATGAATCGACAAGTAATAATCGCACGTCTCAACAATTCCGATAAGTTCTCGTATAAAATATATAGATAGAAAATCGAGGATTCTTTTTCAAGTATAAATACTATAGAGAACAAATTAAAAGTAAAACCATGTGTTTCAATACTAAAATATAAATAATTTTTTTTATTTTAGTAGCAATCAAATCAAAAATTAAAAAATTTATAGACTTACAATTAGTGTATTTAGGAATATATAACAAAATCTGTAGCGTAACTATAGAATAAATTATGATATATTTTACCAATTTTGTTTACTAATGTTATTATATTATACATTTCTGTATTAAGCTATTTAATGGAAACTAAATTTTTATAAATTAAAACAAAATGAAGAAAAATATATAATATAGACAAGTGTCACGTGGAAAAATCGAAATTAGAAAATATTGGAAAATATCGGAAAATATCGTAAAATTTCTTACGATACTGATTGCAAAAAATATAAAATAGGATACAAAGTGAACTGTGAAAGAAGATGCTGTTTGCCTAATCGCTGCATCTTACTATCGTTGATATCATTCTCGCAATGTAACAATATTATTATTCTAATCGCCCCTTCTCTCTTTTGCAGAAAAGAAGGCGCGATGGCTGACGATTGCATTCGCCATCCACTACGATTTTCTCCCACTACAACCGCTCTCTGTCCTCCTACTCTGATGGCAGTTGGGCCACCTCTTCCTGAAAAGTATACCATCACCGACCATTGGGTGCAACTGAAATCAAGGCTACCGATTGGACGGCCTCTAACGCTCGCCTAGGAATGCCGCGTGCAACGAATGCAACGCGCGACACACGTGTGGAGATGCAGATTAACGTAATCTCCGTGAGCCATATGTTATCGGGCCGAGATCGGCGACGCCTTCGGATTGCTCCGCGCGAAGGATTTATGTTAATTCTAAATAACCTTCGCTGAAATTAACCGTTTTGCGTAACGCTTAAAGCTCCTTCCCCGGATCGAGAGGGAGCCTTCAATGTCATCCAATCAATTTTTTGCCCAGATCTTAGAAATAATCACGATATATCTATATTAATATCCATGTCTATCTCTATCTGATAAGGTAATGATAAATATCACGAAGCAATCAAACGTGTTCATACTCGAAGTGTTCATACATATTCATTAAAGAAAATTCAAAAGAAAATTTTTAGAAATATTATTACTTCGCAGTATCTCTCGAAACTCCGTCAATTAATACGTCTCTATATTTTTGGTATTTAAAAATCGTGCAAAGCAAAATGTATTTGTAAAATACAAATTTAGTTTGTATAAGAAAAATCCTTAAAACCTCCAAAAGCGTTAAAAAATATTGCGTATTTAAATACTTAATGTACTCCATCTCAATGTTAATTTAAAACAAATGTGTTGGCATCGTAGAAGATTTCTATCGTATAGCTAAATCGAAGTAATCTATGTAACTAAACTGTATTAAATACAAAAACGAAGTTTTAACGTGCAGTGGATATATTATCTATTCCATACTAATATCCCTGTAAAAAAGAATTTTAGGAATACGCTTTGTTCACGCATAATAAAATATAATATTACATCATTCCTGCAGTATTATTAGATAGACCTGTTTGACGGTGTCGCTTTTATTGCAATCGAGCTGAAGTTATTCGAAATATGAGGAACCATTGAAGTCTGAGCCGACGGGGACGACAGGAATGAGCGAGGATGAGGAGAAAGGCGGAGGGCTGTTAAAGAAACGGCGGGTAAGAGACAACCGCGAAAAAGACCGGCAAGCGGAATGTCGGTTAATTTGTAGCCAGGTCTAGTCCACGCCATAATCTACGCGTGTATCATACTCTTTTATACGTGTCGAGATACACGTTGCCGATCAGTCGCGTTCATGTGCGCCACGACGTGCATCATAGAACGCATGTTATTAATTATTATCATATAAAAAACGAACAGTCTTTATATATTATATAATACTATGCATATATTATATTGTATATAATATTACGTACAGGTTGTCGACAAAATTCGAAAAATAATCGAATTGTCATAAAACCGCGAATAGTTTTTCATTTAACTGCGAAATATAAGTCACGATGATGCAATTGTTAATAAAATACTAAAAATTTATCATCAAACTGCAACTCTGATTAAAATGTGTATTAAACTCTGATTAAAATGATTTAAATGTGTATTTTGTTTGTAGTTGCTGGAGTATGTTTTTCATATTTGTTATATTGTACAAAAGAATATTGTATTTCGTCATTATTTTGAAATGAAAATTTTATCATGAAGATTTAAAAAAAAACAATAATGTGTAAAATATATTGCAATCCATTAGGTCAACAGCTAGTATCACGAATCTGACGTTATATAATATCATTTGATGGTATAGTATAATATTGTATAGCATTCTAAAAATAAGTTTTCATTTTAATATACAATTTTGAAAAATTATTAATTTATGTTGTTAATCAATCGACCGTAAAATCCATCGTTAATAGATGAAATAAATAGACAATATCCACTATAACAAAGTGGACTATTCGATATAGAGAAAAAGAAATAGAAATCAATGTTACATTCCACTAAGCAACTTATGTGACCAAGTCACCAAGCGAAAGCAGTAACAAGCTTTTACCGTACTGGTATTCAGAATACCGGTATACAAGTCGTGTCTTAGTTATGGCAGGTATTTACTACTAGGCACCGGGAATATATTACGTTCGCGTACTTCGTTGCATCAACTTGCTGTTTTTCCAGAAAGCCGCGGAATGTACGAGATCTTCGAGACGTGATGTGAGAACAGAAAGTGCTTAAAAACATTTGGTTGATTACATGAATCGGATACCCAAGAGAAGTAATTACATCGTATTTTTCCATGTTCTACGTTATAAAAATATTATATATCTACGCTTTCACACAATTTTAATCCCGATGAAAGAATAAAGAAATGTACCGAACATAAAACAGTGCGGAATACCACATGGTACTCACAATCCTGTAAATACTTTATCGTCCAGATAAAACTGTTCTACGTAAAACCGAACGGGGGGAGGGAGTTCTTTCTTGCTCAGACACTCTCGCATAAGTAGGCGAGAGTGCCGCTCCGTGCAGAGAGCCACGAAACGCGAAACAGAGCACAAAAAGAACAATCCGCGAGGTGGATGAGAAGGGCACATAAGGAAGCCGAGTTTACGAGATGATTGTCCTACGGACCCTATTCATTCGACATGAAACCTCCAGGTGGATCTCTATTGTACATTATTGCGCCATTGTCCATTGTCGCAATTCGCCACAACTGGTCTTCTTAGATTTCTTTGACATAAGTGGAAAAAGCTTGGTAAGAATAAAAAAAAAAAGACCGATGGCGTTAAATTAAAATATTCGAAATAATTAAGATTACGAAGAAAGCCAAATGCCATTATTTATTAAATCAATATATCATTTAACGTGTTATTCTCTAAAGTTCAGATTAATGTTTTCCATATGCTTTCACGTGTTTCGAACACAAGTTTGAACGCTAGCTTTTTCATGTAATGTTTATCAGAATCATAGTGACTAATCCTTTTTATATTGTAATAAAAAATATTAGAAATTATATATAGGATGAGCCAATGTCGTTCAATTCAACATTTAGGTAAAAAGTCCTTAATCACGTCTCGATTTCAATTACTTTCCAATTTAAGAGCAAAATCGGCGGGGATGTTAAAATTAACGGAATTAGCGGCAATTAGCGGTATCACGTGGCTCCCACGTTAGACGTTTGAGAGAAGAAAGTGCAGCTTGCACGCGACGCAAGCGCGGACAAGAAAGTTTTACGTCCTGCGGGACAAACATCGATGGAAATCGAATGATGCGGAACAGGCACCTGCGTGGGTACAGGCAATTACGTATGAATAACTTCGACGAAAAAGCAGCCGATGCGATCGCACACACCGACTCCGATCTTATCGGCGCGGTGTCGCGCGCATTGCCGAAGGTCCTAGGCCCGGACTCCGCCCGGTTATGACGGTGCAATTATCAATAATTGAGAAATTTTTTTTCGAACGTAATTCAATATAACGAGCCGGCGCGCTCATTAATTTGATATTATAAGCACTGTCTCCCGAACATTCCTGTTATTATATTTGCCGTAAGACCATTAACCTCTTTTCGCGGTACGCAATTTATGTTTTTCCCTCTCTTTTTTTTTAGTTATGCTTCGCGAATTTCGAAGACGCGCAACTGTAATTCGGGTCATATGCGCCGTGTTTCAAGATAATACCCAGGTTATTCGAAGTGTGTAAATCATCAGATGTGCAATCTCACTTTAATTACTCAAATTAATTAAGCAAAGATTAATTGATATAAATTAAGATGATTAACAGCAACATATATTCATATAATATATATCATCGGATTAAAGTAATTACGTATATACGAATATTAAAAGCCTTCCGCCATAATTGCTGACAAAAGCGCAATAATAAAATTTTATTTTATTATTCCTAATTACATTTAATATAATCCTTGATATTCTTAAAAATCATTTAAAATTATAGACATACAAGCAAAACCGTTTTCATAATTCCACTTTTTAAAATTCCTTTACTTTTGATACTAGATACATCATTAATATGTGTGTGAGTAGGTATATGTGATGGAATTACTAATAATGTATTTTTTATTACTATAATTTCTATTTCATATTTTAACTCACATAAAATTTTCTAATTTTGATTATTCTCAAAATAATACAATTTTAATCCGTTTTTGTTTTTACAAAAATAAAAAGAATAGTAATAATAAATCTTACTTAATAATTTACTATTTTTCTGTTTTTCTAAAAACATAAACAAATTAATATTCTGCATTAATCTCTTGTAAATAATCAAATTATTAGAAAAACTTCTTGTTTTAAGTCTTTAATTTCAGCTTAAGCCTGATAAGTATCTGATGGCTAAATATCTGGCCAATAAATAAAGTGTCGATTATTATAATTAGTATCGTAAAATATTAGCACTATTAAGCTACCAAAAGCTAGTATACATAGCTAATAGAAATCAATCAAGACACAAGTAAAGGAGGATCATGACATAATCGGCATGTATCACTCACGTTGCATGGACATATATCCCCACGGTAATTCAAGAAACATAACTCAAGTCCTGACGGACCGCTGAATCATGAGTTTCTCGCGGCATATATATCGCCGCGACGTGTCGGCTTCCCTTTTGCTACTTTAGTTGCCTGTTTTCCTCCCCGCTCGTTCGTTCTCTCGACTCGTCAACCCTATGGCTGTCTATGTCCTTTTTTGCCGATGTGTGACTTTTCTCTCGCCGCACACATATTACCACCTTTCAACCGCGTAAAATGACCTTTACGAGGAGATTGTATCACTGCGGCAACTGTCGCGATAATTAGACATTACTGCAGTATTCGGTTTCTTCACCACACAATGGCATGATCGGTAATTAAATTTCCAGCACATAATTTACTAAAAAGTTTATTTATAAGAAACTATCGACGGATCTACGCATTTGAGAAAGTTTAAAATAAATGAATATGCATGTAGTACTCGATATATTAAATTTTAAAATTATGAGCGAATTTACATATTCAACGCTCGAATATTTTTCTATATGTCATATTACTTTTAACTATGTTACATATGTCTATTGCTCTACGTGAAAATCATTCGACATCAAGAGAAATTTAATTGTAGTAAAATTAAGAGCTCGACATTGGTACAAACAGCGATGTGCATTCGCCCTATTTTCTATATTATTGAGCTGAGAATAAATAACAAAACAATAAGCAACCTCGTATGAGTTATAAAAATTGTTTTAATAATTAAACGAAATAATCGCGATCCGCCAAATCGAGAGAACGAGAGTTGGGGTGACGCTTCGAATAAATAAATCTATGAATAAATCTATGAATCAGGAGATTATATCGATTACATGCACACTCACCTTATCACGCCGGTCTCCTTATGCTTGCCGATGAGGAATGTCAGTATACCGTCGGTCATCTGATTCGCCCACGGTGGTTTCACCCAGATCAGGTTCTTAAGATGACCCGCGTACACTGCAGGCAGAATCCAATTTTCGATGCTGATCTCGCTGAAAGAGTGAGAAGAACAAAATGATTATTAATAATTATTTTCGCAATCATTATTCACTTATAAAATTTATTCATATAGATTGAAAAGCTGTGTATTTTTTGTATTTTCTTTTCCTCTCACTTTTTGCGATCCACGTTATCAAAAGTGCACATTGTACTTAAGAGACATGTTTACCATGTGCAAGTCTAAAATGCTGATATTCTAATATACTAATAATTTGCACCACAATTAAATAACATTAATCAAATAAATTATTTCTGGAATTTTTTGCAAGAGAGTGAGTAAAAATGAGGAACGACGTTTTTTTGTACGCTATTATATTTTGCATATTTAAATATCAATATCTCTCTTTAATTATCTCAAATATAGAAATATTACTAAAATATTTAAAAAAAAGTTAAAATTTAATAACGATAACGAGTTTGGTGATACGCAGGTTATAATTTTTTACAAGAATAAGTAATGATAATTGATAGTTTCAATGATAACGTAACGTACTTCTCTCTCTAAAAAGTGTCCGGAAGTACGTATATACAGAAAGAGGAAAAGAGAGAGAGAGAATGATGCTTCTCTCTCTAAAGTGTCCGGATGCGAAGTACGGAAAGAGAAAAAGAGAGAGAAGATGGTTCTCTCTCTAACCTCCTCCTCCATCGATGCATTATGTATTTGTAAAAATTTGATTAAAAAATTTCAGGTCTATTCTCGCATGCCGAAGGAAGATCATTCGCTGATGTTTCAACAAAGGACAAATGTTGTATGAAACTCACAAATATGATTGTTACACATACGTACCTAAACAGTCGATCCTTGTCCCAGACCGCATCGGCCGGCATCTCCTTCGGTATCAGCATATCTGGATGCGAATCCAGATGCACGAAGGTGTTACCTTCGAAGGGCAGATGCTTCGACCCCATACATCGATATATGTACGGTAAGACCTGAGGATGTCGTAAACAGGGCGCGTTTATCAAAAATTCGTTCGAAAATTGAATCTCGCGTTCGCGTCGCGTACCTACTCGACCGATGCGCGATGCGCGGAGTAGCGCGTAGCGCATATGGCGTCGAGATCTCGAACTTAAACTTTGAGATCGACTTGAAGTTACTTGAAGTTGGATCAGTTCGATTCCTGACGAGCGGCTGATCTTCTTCGCTTATTCAAATTCAAAATAATCTGAAGATCTATTGGAATTCGATTGATTTCGTTATACAACATATATAATTAATATGCACTCATTTACGTAAAAGTTACAATAAGTATTTGTTTATAAACAAATAACTTTCAGAACCGCTGAGATTTGTTATGTGAATCTTACGAAATATTGAATAACAATCTTATTCTCGTCACATGATATCCTTTTCCATATTTCTGTCAAAAATTCAAAAGTTAGCAATAATTTAACAATAATATATAATTATGTGACAGTCATAAAATTAATATTAATGTATCAAAAGATAACTTTAGGGTATACTCTAGAAAAACACAAAAATAATCTGCGCACAGTTTAATTCGCAAAAGAATTGATTATATATGTAGAAGAGAGAGAGTATATCAATCAATCAATCCTAATCATTCATTTTAATGTTATGTTTGTGTGTATAATCTTCAGAACTTATACATTTGAGTACACTCACATACATAACATATCATTCAGAATTTCGATCGTGTAGTGTAGTGTGTACGACGATTTCGGAGCGCGCGCTGCGCGCCACTGACGCCACGACATCTGGCGGCGCGTTGCGCGAAGCGCTACGCTGCATCATGCATCGTCCGCGGCGTAACGAACGCGAGAGAGCGAGAGAACGGCGTTCGAATATACCCACCTCATCGTGATCCTCCACCACGTAGACCGGCGTCCTCTTGAAGTGCTTGCGCGTGTACGACATATCTCGCGAGCGCGGGGGTAATGCGGACCTGACCACTGACCGTCGACGTCGACACAACGATCGCCGGACCGACGAGACGCGCGCGTTAAACGATCGATTTTCTAATTAACACCACGACGACACGAAACTGCACGCGGACACTGGGTAATCGCGGGCACGCGGCGCACTGCTTCGCGCGGTAGCACGTGGTCACCGACTGAAGTTTGCTCTTAGGCGCGCACCTCAAACGCGATCATTTCGCGAATAAAGGGACAAGGGCACCAGACAGGGGGGTTTACTCCGAATTTCTCACGAGACGAGTTTCGTAAGGTGGTTCCCCTTTTTTCTCTTGCTCTAGCCCCCGGCCCTCCCTCCACCCCTCCCCCTGGCCCCTCTGAGGATGAGGACGCCTTAGAAACCTGATCCTTCTAACACAGCCGGCAAGCGGCGAACGAATGTCCGGAGTATCATTTGACAAATTTATCCGGACAGGTCGGATTGTGATTAACGAGTCACTGCCGAAAATCTCTGCATGTTATTTTAATATCAGGATAAATTGTTATATACCTTTCTTCAATGATAATTTTATTCTGTTGTGAGTAAAATTTGATACATACATATTTCTGTATTTTATTTTGCTCGTTATTTTTATTTTAAAAAATTTGTGGGGACTTAAAATGAATCAGATATTTTTATTTAACTAAAAGTAAAATTAAAAACACTGATGTTTCTCCAATCTCTACGTATATACATATGTATGATATATCTACTCATAAATAAGTATATGTTATATAAGTATCGATAAAATCACATCCTTTGTGTATCCAGTTCTGTCCATTTAAACAATTACAAAACATTTACAGATAATAAAAATATTTATTTATGCAGGATAAAAAATCAATCAAATCTTTCTCATTAATCGCTCAACATGTAATCACATAACTTATTTTGTAAATCGCGAAATAAATCACACGACTCGCACAAACGATATTTACATACGTGTTAATAGATGTTATCGATTTTTATAAAAAGATGTACATGGTAAAGTATCCTCACTACTGACAAGCGACAATATTCGATCGATGACTATACAGGACCCGATCGCAAAAGATCATCCAGTTGCATAACCGCAGTTAGCGTAGAATCGGTAGGAAAAGGTTACCCCCGGCACACACAGTTCAAGCCTCGTCGATGCGTGTTAAAGTATCGGCGATGCGTGACCTTTCGCTATCGATCGATTCACATGTCATTCTTTGCCGCCGCTTGATCATAAAACACATCGTGAGAAAGTATCCGAAAAAACGAAAATGCGCTCGCAGTACGGTCTATGTGAATATATAATTGAACAAACGACATTCTGTATCTCATTAGTCGAATCCCGCGTGATTATTGATCGTACATAATCCAATTCTCAAACATTTGCGATTTATAGATCTCGAGATGCAGCTGATCCGTTTGTCTCCTTAACGACGATAGGAATCTCTCGACATCTGCTTCACATGAATAAACATCGTTTACCAAGTCATTGCCTAGCCCGTGATCTCCTAAATTTGCAGAACGATCATTGGTTTTCTGTTCCAAGTATCGTGGTGTGCGATTAAATCGCGACGATTGAGCGTATGTCCCGGAAGAACAGGGATATGCAGGTACACGTTCGTTCCACTGATCATGATAAATTTGATTCGATGAGCACGCTTGCTCTTCTAAATTATAATGTAAATTAGAATTTGGAATCCACGGAAAGCTTTGCGCTGGATTCGACAAAGGTTGAGGAGTTTTCTTTGCATTCACATTTGCACGTGAATTTATTATCCTTGAATACCTTGTTGAGGTAACTGAATTATCTATACCTACGCTATCCTTTGGATCACGTGTGTGAGACGTTACATGTTTATCATGTTTGCTAAACTCATTCAAATTGTTGTAAACAATGTTATTTGTTTGTACAGGCGTATATTTAGTTTGCACGGTTTTAACTTTACTTTGCTGAATGTTCTCCCTGCTGGACTTTTGACTACTGCTACTGGTGGGTGACGCTTTCTGTCCGTTGTTTAAAGCGACTTTATCAGTATAATTTGAATACGTAACATCCTTTTCAGATAATATAAAAGACGACTCGCTTGAAGTACCGTATGTTTCTTCAACAGTTTCTTCATCCGTTTGTCGAACTTCCATATTTTCGTGTCTTTGATCGGAGATTGTATTAGTATAAACGCCATTCGTATTTTGTATTTCATGATTATTTTGACTGGCAACTGTAACTTTATTAGAATAAACTTCTTGCACTTTCTTTGTCTTTGAATCTTTACCATTTACTGCATTTGTTACTGGAGTATCCACTTCAGAAGTCTCATGGTATTTACCTATGCCGTTATCTTGATTTTCTAAAAGTCCCTGTTTTTTAAACATTTGTGCATACTTCGCCAATTTATCATTTTTCGAAGAAACCAGATTTTTAGACGGTGGTACATCTTCCGCTAACTCATCATCTTTTGCAGTTCTTTCTGCTGTTTCTTTAAGAAGCGCTTTTATTTCCGAGAATGCCAAATTTTGCTCTCTTATTTTCCGAATCACATCACATGTTTCAGTTTCATTTAAACATGCTATATAATCTATTATTTCTAATAATTTTTCATTGGGATTTTGACAAGTTCTAAAATATTGTAGTGCCTCGCGGTATTCTTCAATTTCAGAGTTCGACATCATTAAATTTGGCATATGTTCATCAACATTTATAGGATAAGGAAAAAATGCGTTAAATTTAGTACCTAATGTATAGAAACGGCCTTTGAAATCTTCTATTTCTGTGTACATATCTAACAAATTATCTGAATTAGATGCTGAATATATGTAAGTATCCTGCACCTCTTCATCATTACGAAGTTCTGGAAAAATACACAAGAAAGCCCGTTTCTGTATATTAAGGAAAGTTTTGAGAGCTGAAAAATGTTCTTCGTGTAATAGTTTATAAAAAGATTCGGTCATGTCTTTATACGTATTATCTAACAAATTAATTTCAAAATCGAGTAACTCTTTCCACTTGGAAGCTATTCTCAATAGAGATTCTTCATCATTACAAACGTTATCGTCATTTTCAATAATTTTTGCAGCATATGTTACTAAATAATTGTTTACTATTATCCGTATGTGATCGTTCTCACTGTTATCTAATTCATTTATAGGTAAACTATGCATGAAATCAGAATCTTTTGTAGAAAATGTATCCTGAGAAATTTGTATAAACGTTTTTTCATTATCATCCTCTTTATCACAATTGGACACAGAAATTGATGCATCATCTTCTTTTTTTATGATTAATGAATCTTTCATATATTGAACAATGTTTTCAACCTCGGCATCTGATAATTCGCGATTCTCTTTATCTGACAGAGCTACTTTAAACACGACGTCTTTATTCAATTCTTCCATAAGAGAAGCATCATCTGAAGGTGTTATTGTAAAGGTATATATATTTTTTGATGTGGATGATGAGTTTACAACTTTACTTTCTTTAGAATTTTCATCTGCAGATTTTACAGTCGATGTCTCTTCAGATTCTTTAGAAGTATTAGCTACAGAATCAGTTCTGCCTGGAGCGTAATGTTGAAATATTGAACTAATTTTTATCTCCTCATCTAAATTAGATCTTGATCTCACAGGTGTATCATCAGAGACAGTTTTGTGGCATTTTTTGTTTTTCGATTTACGTTTTTTACGAATTTTACTAGTATTTCCAACATTATTCTTCGATGACAACGTATTGATCGCCATGTGTTTTGGTACTTCACATTCGTCATCTCTCGCAGGTGTGTCACTTCTTTCTATTGACGAAATATCACTGCTTGCTGTACTCTGGAGCGAAACGTTATTAGATTCTTCATCTTTCGCAGTA